TCAAATTGTTGAATATACGAGTATGAGTATCTGTGAAATATGAGTTATATATGCAATAACTTATTGCAAGATGTAAGAACCAACAATGTACTTGCTGTAGATAAACTGTAGATAACTGTCATTGGGAAAGTAATTACACCTTGCAGTAACTCGCAAAAGTTTCCTTTGTTACAATTGTAAAACCTCGATAAAATGTCATGTATTTCTTTCAATGCGATACGGTTTTTAGGCTGCATCCTTAATATGTTGGATACAATTGTTTCGAATGACAGTTGAGCTAATCCAAAATAATTATGATAGTATGCCACCCCGGTGTGAGACTATGATTTGGCAATTATTCACGCTGGGTATTTGTTTATGTTCCCAATGATATTGTCAAGTGAATCATTACAACACAGTGGGTTACTCATGTAATTAACTTGTCTCCTTGATGTTGCCCTAATTTCTCCGACAGCTCATAAAGAGTAAATTGATAATAGTATAATGTTCTTTTATGTCCTTACTGAGTTGTATCTTGGTTTGGAATAATGAGAGCTCTATCAAGTATTTATAAATGGGTATTGTATATTTAAGTTTTCGTGTGTTTTCGATAATTAAACATTAAATATTTATTATCATTATAAGATGAAATAGAAGCAAGCAGGATATGTTCCTACTGCTATCATGATATTTTACAATAATATACCTTCAGGATTCCCTCATATTAGTATGTAGTATCATTTTAGCACTGACAATAATTTATCTTAATTAAACATTGATAGAAACCATGTTTAAATAAATGAACACAGTCTTGCGTCAAGCGGTCTCAATAACATTTTTATTGATTTTGAGATTTTAATTATTGTCCCAGTTTGCGCTAAATGTTAGCGTCACATTGTAGGCGCGTCATTCAAAAATGTTTCTTTTTCACTTTTTGCTTTATAGTTTGGGTATGTGATTAATAGAATATTATTTTCGTGTAAGTTCAATACCGAATTTATTCAGAGTTCTGTTCTAAATAAAAAGTATTATTAGTTTTGAACTAACACCCGTTCAATATCCACTATATATCTGGTAACTTACATTTTTTTCTGAATCCACATTTTTGTTTTATCCAAAACAGTTAACTTGTCATTATTATTTCAGATTTAAATACAATGTTTTTGATAAGTTTAAACCTTTCATTCCTTCATGAATGTTACTCAAACTATAGGGTTTTATATAACCAGAAAATTCACTTTTTTAGAATCAAGATAATTCACACCATTACACCCATTATCTCCTGTAAACAGCTACATGTTACTCTAGGGACACTCAGATTTCGAAATGATAGTTTGATTGATGGACAAGATGAATACAATTCCCGATAAAGTAGTAATAAGGGTTATATAATATCAAATTATTACGGGTATACATTTGAATGCAAACGCAGGCTGCTCAGAGACCCTACTGAACGACAAACTGGTTCAGTCCCATTCGTTTATCATATACAACACGCACTGTTCAATATGGGGTATATTTGGGCAATCACGAGCAGCGATTCAATTGATGCCAATAATTACAGTAACTCCCGAACAACTGTATGTATTATATAAAGCCATTTTCGAACACCCTGTAACAGTTAAAAGACCCTGCGAATCAAACGATAGCCGACAATAGCTTGACAAGTATATCTTAATATGTGTATAAATATTGATGATAATGAGTTAAACTAACCTAATTTATGTATTGATATGCAAGACAGAAAAGTGCTTAGAAATGATGAAAAATAATTGTATATGTATATGACTGGTGTGACTATTTTTCATGGACATGGCAAATTCACGACGGAAAGGGGTATTTCGGCACATACATGATTAATTTCTCTTAGATTATGACCAAAGATATATGGACAGCAATCCATACATAAATCTTTCAAGAAAGCATTTACGAGAAGTCATCAATCTTTCCAAACAAATAAAACCAAAATCTCAAGAAATGTCTGATAAAGAAAAGGCATGACAACTTGTCTAATATACAGTAAAATGTCGAAAGCACAAATGCAAATCACACTTCTCTTGTAGATAAATGATATCTTTTATAACAGTTACGAACAAGGTTCAAGAAATATTATATTAAACAAACGACGATAACATTCCATGTGTTCTGTATAATCTGAAGCGCTGATGCAAACCATTTTGTTGTTTACTTTTTTAAAGTTTACAAAGCCGTTAAGTATTGGCCTAAAATATTAACTTGTCTATTTCGAATACATTATCCGGTGGATGAACGTACTATTTTTAGACTGTGATATACTTTGATAGTGTCATATTTTTTAAATTGAAAAGCAAAACAAATGATAAAATATGTTTGCATAGAAATTATTATGTTAAATAAGAGTGCATAAAGCATTATAATAAGAACTTACTTTCAGAAAAAAGGAATATCGGCAACAAAAGTTACAAGGTTGAGTTTAAATAAAGGTTCTGTCTTTAAAATTTATAAACTCACTGAAAAGAGATACAACACATTTAAACTATAACTTTTGTAAAAACTAACAATTCATTCTCAGAGTTCATTCGAATAGAATCGCAACTGTCTGCAAGATGATGCTTATCCAATAAATGGATTAATCTTTATTTATTCATTTTCCTTTTTAATCCAAAGAGACTGTTTCATATCATTGTAAAGTTTAATCTTTGGGTAACATGCAAATTAATTTCGTTTGTTTAATTATTATCTGCATTTGAAGAAGTGTGTTTTTCTTATTGAAATCAATATTGATTTATTTGCTTTATACGTAATGCATTTATATTATACTTTTACATGTATATATGACCTCTTTTCATTTACTTTTCCCATTATAAACCTTGTTATATCCAGACAGATTCTACAAGCACTGCTACATTGTTGCAAAATTAAATGTGAAAATTATTCGAACCATGCTCGCAATCGGAACATCTTGAATATTTAACTTGATTTATGTAGAAGTTTATGTAGAAGTTTACTCGAAATATCGGAATTGCCATTTGCATACATGGTTAGTTTCTTACCGAAATACCGTATCCTTTCTATGTAGTGGTACTGTAATTGTGTTCGAGGTCCTTTTCCGAAGTTTGACGGAAAGAGCGGAGAAGATGGGATTGCCTTCCCCGGAAACCCAGGCTGTTAACCTTATATTGATTGTGATATCAGATATAAAGCTCAATTAGGTCAATATGTAGAGCGTCGGCGACCCGGGTTCGACTCCAGGACCTGCGCAGGTCACTTTCGTTGTGATTGACCATTAAATCTTTTCTACGGTCATTCGCACTGTACCTGTGCTCTTGCATGTACAGATGTACTTAGTTCCATGCGAAAGTAGAAGCAACTTTTACTGGTAAACTGCTTGACAGCCTGCCCAGGAACGATGCGGTGGCTGAACTGTGCTCTCGTAGATTCAATGTGGCTTATATTTATTAATCTTTGCCCCGCGCCCACGCTAATAAGCGATTTTTCGCTCCACCCCCCCCCCCCCCCCTGCCTGCCTTTCCCGCCATATTAACTTGTTAATTCTCGACATTTCGCTTGGCGGGGTCGATAGGCGGAAACACGAATGACACAAATCAGTCACCATGTTATAAAATCGTACCAACAATATTGTTTAATGAACACCTAAACATACGGCCCTTATATTTTATGCTGATTTGTGGGTCATACACTATTTTGTTTACAAAAACGATTTAAGCATATCATATCAGAACATCGCAGAATGGAGTTTCACTCCTCGTATTTTTACATGCACTGTGGGTAGAGTGTGGAATTAACAAATGCAATGCAATTTGTAATTGTATATAGACGTTTAAGTATAAAAAATACAGTAAAACATACTATCATATATAAGTAACTACTAATTGCTACAGTAGAATCACACATAGAATGCTCTTAGAAAGGTTGAACGTATGTACCAGTTTGTGCCATCCAAAGAAATAATCTACATCTATATAGAAAGTATATAAAAACACATGTTTCATAAACGACAGTGGTAAAGGCAAAAAAATTATAAAATTAACCAGGCAATTGGCATTGCTGTTTATCATGTTTTCTATCTTAATTTGCTTTTTCTATTTGTTCATTTAAAATAAAACTAACATCTGACCAGAGATGCGAATTTACAATCATGGGTTTTATAATAATATAATAGATGAAAATAGTCCTTAATGTGAATCGTAGAAAATACCTTAATAACAAAGATTCTGTTCGACTCTAGGAGGTACATATGTTCCGTCCTTTTTATTTATTTCAATTGGTATTGATAAGGTTTCTGAAAACATTTGGTTTATTTATAAGTTAAGCAGTTTCTCAACATAAATAAATTCAATTAAATGGTAAAAAATGCTAATGAACAACAGAGGTACATACAATCTACTTATCTAGTGGCATTGTGATAAATATTAAACGGAATTAAAATTTGGGTAGATATAAGGGTTCATTTTTGACATTGAACCCAATTCTATCTTTAATATAAGAAAAAGAAACTTTGAAATGGTTTATAATATATACATGCAATGATTACCCCAAACATCAATCTTTATATAAATCAGGCAACTGTTTCATTCTTATCAGCCGGGAAAAAAGAACATACAGCACATGTGAGTTCTCTAGTGTTTTCATATGGTGGACACTTCAGTACCCCGCATGCAGCCTGGACGAAAAAAACAACAAATTTTTCATCTTTGGCTCCATTCCCGGCTTCCAATACTTTTGGCTTTTCATCAAATATGATAAACAAGATTAACAAGGAAAGGCGGCGTTCAATGAACGCAACCCCCATATGACCCAGCAACAAGAACCAATGGCAAGGAGCCCAGGCGGACCCCAAACAAAAACAGGACAGGGCAAAGACAGAGCACGGACAGGTTAATCATTAAATGATAAATGATTTGTAACTGATTAGGAATTCAAAGAAAAGAATAATAGGCCCACAAAGGGGAAGGGGTCAGGAGACCGGGGGAAGGGGGGGTAATCAAAGAAATAAAAACTAGAGGCAATGGGGAAGATACTTACCGTAGACGAGGAAACAACAAGGGACATATTCCGATGATCCAGCTTGTGAGAAGTGACCGCCCATAAGATAACCACTGTACTCCAAAACATATGTTATTCCTAGGGATCCTGCACACTGCACAAGGCACGTCTTGGTGATGGAAATGTTTCCAGTATGGGTAATCGCCGGTGTGGTATTCAGCTCCGTATATTCTGACGGCTGATTGGAAACCATCTATGTATTGACCCCATGTAGGATCTTTAGGCAAGCACATGTAGTTTGAACCAGAACCCTTGTGGGTATAGTGACCACCAGCGGCATAACCTTCGTAAACCAGAAAGGCTCCTTTAGGACATATAGTCCTACCCCAACGGGTATATGTTGACCCGTCAAATGATCTTTCGGCTCTGATCATTCTTTTCTTCATTCCAGTTATCATTTCTCTTGCATCTATAGTAATATTAGAGAAACACATTGACTCTAGTGCAGAATTCAAATCAAACATAAATTGGCCGTTTAGCTCTGTAGGGAGCGAAACGGATTTGTAATCCCTTGGTCACTGGTTCATTTCTCGGGCGAGCTGATATATAAATAATGTTTCTCTTCTTGGAATTATAAAATGATATTAGATCATTTCAAATTTTGAAAATATTTACAAACAAGAAAGATACAAAAATACTGATTACCGCTTAATTCATTTCTTAAGGCATTGTTTTTCTCCTCTTGTTGTTTCATCTTCTCTTTTAGCACGAAGATAAGTGTTAGATTATCTATGATAACGTATTCTTAATGAGCATGATAGTTTACGCCCTGTACAAAGGAGGCCTTCTCGGAATGTGTAGCGTGATGTTTTTTTTAAGATAAGAATAATGGAACTTTGGAAATGGTTTGAAACAGGTAAATGTAGTTTTAATTTAGACGCTACATTTTAGGTCGATTGGGTGAGTTGTGTTGTCTGATTCCCTTCTTGTCTAGTTCTTGACTGCTGATGCTTTCTGATATAGATAATATAAAATACATATTTGCTACTTTTGAAGTGAGTGTCGATCGATTATTCTTTATCTTAGATTTGTAAAATAATCTATTTTATCTGATTGAACAGTTTGTTATCATGAACTAATCATTATTAACTGTAACAAACTAATCTTTAACAAAATATAGTTAATATTACTTAACTTCTTGATAGTTTACATATATCACTGTTTATACTCAAACTAATTGTCATTATTTTTACAGGTTTTTTACGGGAATTTTCACCCCCCCCCCCATTACACTTAAATTATCTCAGTTTAAAACGGTTCCCCTAAAACCCCAGAAGATAAAAATTTGTTTTTCTATAAAATTAGTTTTTGATCTACGGTTTAAGGTGTAAAAATATTTTCCCCCGCGGATGTAGTAATTTGTTTGATTTTTGGGCCCTTTTGGGTTACATTAAGAAAGTCTTGTTTTTAATAAATTAAAATTCACTTTACCCTACTGAAAGTGTTTTTCGTAGCATCATATGTCAATTACGACAAATGATATAACGAAAAATAATTCCTGTGTACTAGTTAAAATCTATTCCACATTATACAAAAAGAAAACAAGTCACCTATTGTTACATCAAAATCATTTTGAGAAAATGCTATGTGCCTTAGAAGCATAATGCAATAAAAAAACGTCGGCCAGTGTCGCTTTCATATATTACTTTTGTCTTTTACAGCTATATTAATACAAAAATATATATTTAAAAACCAATAAACTCTAAATCGTTTTCATTCTTTAAATCGCTGTTTTAAAATTTGTCGGATGCAAAAAGATGTACAAGTTATCCCATCCTTGCTTAAAATGTTTAATCAACGTTTAATTTATTTTTTGCAGTATTCATTAAATATTTCCTTCTCTACAGTTTAGTTAATTAAAATGATTAATCTCTTACTGAGTGCGTAGCAGAAATGTGTTGCCCCGATTCAATAAATCAGACTGAAAATAAATCACAACGTTACACCCGTTGTCTTCTCTTAATAGATACAGTTTACTCTAGGGATACACATTATTACATTTAATAGTTTGATCGATGGGTATGTTGTGTACATTTCCCAACAGTGTTTTAATGTTCAGATGTTTTACACTTGTCTCATCAGAATTAATATTTATTTTTCTTAAAACCGGTAAGTTTAAGCGAGACAGCACATGTAATAATTCATGTTCTATGATTAAGTCATTAAGAATTATTTCAATAAATAAAGCGGGAAGCATTTTTTAAAACTTTCTGAAAACTTTAGATACTACGACGTTTCTATCAAAGAAAATATAAAAACCGGTAAAATTAGATGTTTTTACATATTTCTAACAAAGTACCTACTTTGAAAATAGATAATGTATGAAAACTACTATGACATTCATTTCAAAACGTTACTGTGCCTTAACACATTATTTCATAACATTTTACAGCAAACTGAAATTTCAAGTCATGTTTGTGTCACGTTGTTTGAACATGTTTTCCTAAATAAGAATTTACCCACCCCATCATTACAAAAAAATTAGACAAGGTTCATGTGGTCCTGTACCGCTGGATAGTGTGGATAGTGTGGGGGTTGCGTTCATTGAACGCCGCCCTTCCTTGTTAAATTTGTTTTGCATATTTTATTTTTGTGGTTAATATTAAATGCATTTTATTGCATTTACCTTTTATATACAAATAAATTGTTATTAATTTTGATCGTATCTGAGTATTAATTTAATTTAAAGACGATTTTATATTCTTTCATTATCTGGAAACTACGAAAGTTGTATGATAATAAATCTTTTATATACCAATTTATGAAAAGTTTACCGCAAGAACAATATCTAATAATATATTTTTTAAGTTTGAAAGAGCAAATTCAAATCATATTTCTCTTTTTGATTAGAAATTTATTGCTTTGCTTTCATTTGTGAAGCTAATACTTTATTCATATGAGGACATAACAACAGCCAACTAGGGTAAAAATCTGGAAAAAGTGTGATACCTCGGAAGAAGTACCACACAATTACATGGAAATTGCAGATTCGGTTTAATTGAGTCTGTACGTGAGGGATAATGAAAATGTGCAACATCACTCACGTCTCCTAGCACCGACTTGTGCGGTACTTAATTTTTCAACACTTACAAGTGCTGGAATCAATGATCCCAAAGGACCAGAAAAAATATTACAATAAATAATCCGTCCTTGAACCAATTTGGCCTCGAGGTCGAACATTTTAAGACCAAATCAGATACATTCTGTTCCTTTTTATTCCCGTAAACAATTTGTTGTTTACTTCTTAACAATACGGATGAGGGTAACAGGTTTTATTGAGCGCTTGCAACGTTCACGGTTCCGAACGTTTTCGGAGCGGGAGATTCGACTTTTTTCAAAATCTTATAAACCTCAAGGTTTGTTTTTATCTGCAACAAGAAGATAAAACACAAGCAGTATGCTGCTTCACCGTGTTAATTTTCAATATGTCACAGTAAAAACTTATATTTGTGTATGAGGCACTGAATTAAAATGATATCTAAATCTTTAGATACGAACGATTTATCTTAAGGCAAACGAATTTTGTTCATAATTCAAATGGGTGTGCGAATAAGGGATATTTTTTTCTAATGTGATCATGTAATATATATATAAATTGAACAACCTTGTCCTGCTTTCACGGGTCAAACTGCTGGTTGGATTTCAATGAAACTTCAAATGAGTTATCATAACCATCCCTAGTTTTGCATTTCGACGGCATATTTTGCAACGCTGCACAAAATAGCTATCAGAGCTAAAAAAAAAACAGCTGTCGAACTGCTTTTGGGATTTTTCCACCAAATTCTAAATAGTTTTGGGAGACATATTTTTGTGACAGAACCGTTCTTGTTCATACTAGTTTTGGCAAAAATCTTGCGGTAAATAAAACTAAAACGCATATAGAAATTAAATTGCTCCACATACCATTTGATACCATTTGATAAACATATGGATACACATAAAATATTTAAGAAAATATGCCACCTTGAATTAACGCGCATACAGAAATTACAAAGTGACGTAAAAGGCCGTTGTTACTAATTTTGCGCATGTCTCACACGTGTTTCGGTTTATGTGACCTTTTGTTATGTGTCAAAACCAAACGCTGTTTTTTTTGTTTTGTTTTTTATTGTTTTTTGTAAGCTTGATATTCTTGTGTCCATAATATACGTTCTGTCCGTATTTTTTCGGATTGATCCCACATAAATATTTCAAAACTATCCTAAATTTAATTTAATTATTTAGTCTGAGCTATTCTTATTTGACGTTCAGTGTTATAGTATAAGGTTAATATTCTACATTGTTGATTGCAATACTGAATTATTTTAGACGTGTGCTCAGCTGTCACCAGATGCTAGCTGAGTCTGATAAAGGCAGCTGTATACGAGTCCAGTAAAATCGGTATTGTTTAACACAATGTATCATGACCACTTGGCTTTACGCCACCATTTTTTGATATTTTGAATTTGGTACATCAAGTACAGTGAGAATCAGATATGGATATTTGGACTCGAGGTAAAAGTGGGTACGATTTGCATTTAATTAAGATTATTTGGATTTAAAAAATGAACATGAGGCTATATGAGGGGTACAATACGCCGAAAATTAAAACGAGGTGAATTTAATACGACTGGATAAAAAATGATTTATTTTTAATTATCACGTTGTGCAAATATTGGAAGTTTGTTTGTTATGCAAACAGGTGTGAAGTGATTATCGATATTTTTGTAAGAAACTGCGAGTTTCCCATACATAATAAATGATACGATATGGTCCGACACGCTGCTTTGGAAAAAAAAGAGCTATTACGGACCAACATTTGCTCGAATATATTATTAAATATTTGCATGTTTGTACAAAGGATAAAACGTTACGTTAAATAGCATTTTGAAAATGCCACAAAACATAATCGCACGTACGTCAACGTAGAAGGAATGTAATTGTATAAAACAATACAAATTAAAATTATCGTCATAATTACACCAATTGGAAATTAAAGTTATCAAACTTGTGTTTCATTTCTATCAGCTGGTGAAAAAGAGCATACAGCACATGTTAATTCTCTTGTGTGCTTATATGGTGGACACTTCAGCGCCCCGCCGCACGACGCTTCAACAAAATAGAAATGTTTCTCATCTTTGGCACCATTCCCGGCCTCTAATGCTTCTGGTTTTTCATCAACACACACATATTCCGATGAACTTGCATGGCTGTAGTGTCCGCCCATAAGATAACCACTGTACTCCAAAACATAATCTTTGTAACAGATGTTTCTTCCAGGAATCATAAGTACATTATTACGAGGGATCCTGCACACTGCACAAGGCACGTCTTGGTAATGTAAATGTTTCCATTTTGGGTAGTCTGCGGTGTAGTATTCAGCTCCGTATATTCTGTCAGCTGTTTGAAAACCATCTATGTATTGACCCCATGTAGGATCTTTAGGCAAGCACAAATAATTTGATCCCGAACCCTTGTGAGTGTAGTGACCACCACCTGCATAACCGTCATAAACGAGAAAGGCTTCTTCCGGACAAATCGTCCGACCCCAACGCGTATATGTCGTTCCGTCAAATGACCTTTCTGTTCTGGACAACTTGTTCTTCATCAACGTGATAATATTTCTTGCATCTATTGTAAATATAGAATTTCATTTATCAAAAGATAATTATGTAATACAGTGTTGTGTAAAAACATAACAATGTATTGTAATAAATTGATGAATTACGTCGTATATACAACCAGAGAAAATACATAATCCGCAAAACTAATGCTGAAATCGGTTTGAATTGACTTTATAATATTTACATGATTTAAAAATAGAAAAAAAAACTAAAATAATGTAAGTGCTGATTACCGCTTAATTCATTCCTAAGTGCATTGCTCGTCTCCTCTTGTTGTTTTGTTTTTTCTTCAAGCATGACTAGTTTTTGCAAAACGTCGAATTCGTATTCAAACTTATTATAGCACACGTGTGGCTCATCATTTGACAAGCACGTGGTGAAATAGAAGTTTCCAGCAAATGACAGTAAAAGCATTATTCCACCAACCATTTTATTTTCACTGGAAAAGTCTTGCTTTCTTTTTCATAAAAAATTAAAATAGCTTTGTCCGTTTATAGTAGCAGATGTACGCTGCTGTATGGTGGATTCAATAGTGATAACAACTTATATAGTTCTTTCCTTGTTCTCACGGATTTGAACATATAATACACTTATTTTCGTATCCTTAATTCATTCAGCCTTTAGCTAAATCATGATTGATTTGGGGAAAATTGTTTGTATGTTTTGAAACAGACATTTTAACAGGATCATTCAAATAAAACAACTGCGAATTATAATAACAATGATTGATATGGCTGTCATGACTTATAATCGCCATCATTTTAATGTCAAATGACATCGGTTATGACAGCAAATTGCATTTTAAAAAGATATGGACGTTGTATTTAATATTTTTGGCGTATAATGAAATCTTAATAGTTCTGGACGATAAAACTAAATTATCTAGGGCGACAAAATCATAGTTTTCATCTTCAAATTATCTATATTTTAATATAATAATTGAAACAAATTGTTAAGTAGAAAAGATGTAATGCAAAAAATAAAGGTCGTTAGATAAAACAATGCGGTGAAATTTTACATGAACCTTGATCACAGTTGTTACAATGTATCATCCATGACCCCTCTTACAAGCGCCGGATTATGCTACATAATTCTTACCACGAACTCACAAAAGCACAAAATGTGGAATTTATATACAATAAATAAATCATAGATAATTCATTGCGAAATCGTCACTGAAGATAACTGTCCTTTTTTGCATGAGTGTCAACCGCCGTAAGAACAAATCTGCAAATTCAATATTTCACAATAACCATGATTAAATGTTGATTCTTCTTAAGCCGGTGCTAGACGGTAACTTGTACTTTCCAGTACCTCAATGAACAGGCTTAATCAAACTAAGCCTGCAACATTTTCAATTGTGTCGTCTTGAACGTTCTTTAGAGATTCAGTTTTTCTCTTTTGTAGGATGTTTATCTCGTATGTGACATTTTCTCATCAGTATATGAGAATAATTATTTTGTTATAACTATAACTTAATAAATATTATGCTGATAAATTGGAAAAAATAACAAGCATCTATAATTTTAATTATCAAGCTTGTGTTTCATTTTTATCACCTGGGAGAAAAGAGCATACAACGCATGCTAGTTCACGTGAGTTCTTATATGGTGGACATGTTAGCGCTCCGCATGAAGCCTCAACGAAATAAAAATATTTTTCATCTTTGACTCCATTTCCAGCATCCAAAGCTTCTGGTTGGTCATCAACACAAACATATTCCGATGAGCCAGCATTACTGTAGTGACCGCTCATAAGATATCCAATGTATTCTAGGGTATAATCCTTATAACAGATGTTTCTCCCTGGAATCATAAGAACATTATTACCAGGGATCCTGCAGACGGCACATGGCACGTCTTGATTGTGGAGATGCTTCCAGTTTGGGTAGTCCTTGGTAAAGTATTCAACTCCGTAAATTACACCAGCTGTTTGAAAGCCTTCCATGTACAGACTCCATGTAGGGTCTTTAGGCAAGCAAAGAACGTTAGACCCAGAGCCTGTATGCTTATAATGACCACCCGCGGCATAACCATCATAAACAGGAATGGCTCCATCACGACATATGGTCCTACCCCAACGGATATATGTTGAGCCATCTAATGACCGTTCGGTTTTGATTAAATTTTTCTTTATGACTGTTATGATTTTTCTAGCATCTGTAAGAGATATAAGAACGATTATTAATGAAATAGAGAAGAAGCAGAATGTCTAAATAAAGCCCAGCAAATTAAAAATGTTACAGGCTCCGTTTTATTGAGCTGGACAAGTCTTTTTCATCTTTAAGTTAACAGAATGTAGTTAATATCAAACCACGTAAATAAAATGCTAAGAACATCTGTAAAGATAATTTGAAATTTTCTGTTAAACTTCAAAATACTCAGACAAAAAAAATGTGTTAAAACAAAATTTAGAAAAAAAACCCAACAAATTATTGTTTACCGCTTAATTCATTTTTCAGTGCATTGTTTGTTTCCTCCTGTTGCTTCGCCTTCTCTTCCAACACCACAAGCTTCTGCAAAACATTGTATTCGTATTCAAACTTATTATAGCATACGTGCGGCTCCTCATTTGATAAACTTAAGGTGAAGTGAAAATATCCTAGAAGTGACACAATTGATATCACTTGACAAAACATTTCGTTGCTAGAACAATCTTTCAGTGTCTTATAAGATTTATATAGAAAACTGTTATAGTTGTTTGTGTCTTTCACAGCAAATACACGTTGCTTTGGTATATGTTTTTCTCACGGATTTCAAACAATTATATTCTTATTTTCCTGTCATAAGCTCTATTTTATGCGTATTTTATAACAAACATTTGAACAAGAGGTTTTCAAGTAAAATTCCTAAAAAATATCACAATAATGATACAAAATGGAGAAACATGATTGTCATCAAGATCATTATAATGTCAAATTAATGACACTAGTAATGACCGAAAATTACATTTCAAGTAGAGTTGACGAAGTATTTTATAATTATAATTTCATATTATTTGACGTTTCATGAACCAAAGATACCATTTTATTCAATAGTATGGTAAAAAGACAAATTTACGCACTTTAATAATCATCTCTATCATAATAAATAAGGTTGTGTGAGAGATAATCAAAATTTGTGTTATAACTTGCTTCGTCGATGTTCATAAAATATAGAAAATCCTGCTGTATTGTTTTGTAAACTTTATGCAAATATCAAATTATCAATACTGACTAGACACATTGGATAAACACATATCAATCACATTAAAATGAAAGTGTGTCTGATTTTCATGCAAAATTTACTTTTTTTTCATCCACCATCGATACAAAAAGAGATATTTTAAATTAAAAAAAAAAATTAATTACTTTTTTATTTAAGGTTTAATTCCCGGTCTGCAAGTAAATTATGATCGACTTCTTCATTTAGTTCAAAAAAGGTCAATGACGACTTGATATAAAACGCCATATTGATTTTTGACACAAAGTATGAAAGAAAACTTTCACTCCATGAGACTCAGTGAAATTTGAGGACATATTTACATGGCATTTTATAAGTTATCGAATTTTGCAATCTTTAATTATATTCGTATGCAGTAAATATGTTATTTTTTGTTATATTTTCCACAAACAATTATAGAGTACGAAATTATATTTCATAAATTTGTCTGTGAATTGCAAGTGTATAGTTAAGTAGCCCTGCTGCAAATAATTTACACACTAGGTAAACATAACTTGAATCCCACGCTGTGCTCAAGTGTTTAATCGTTGCAGATAAACAAAAATTGGCGATGTTACCGTGTGTACAAAATGGCAGATTTATTAGTCACTATTTTGCCATACATTTGTATATTCATTTATTTGTTCACATTGTATATAGTATTTAAAGGCATCTCATATAGATGTTTTATTCATGTAATGAATTTGTATATCTGAATTTTTATGTTATCCTGTGAGCACATTATTTGTAAGCTCCTTATTATAATTAGGCGAATTATATATGTAAACGAATTAAATAATTAAAAATGATTTAATTAAGTATTTTAAGAAGTAATTACTTATGCTTTGTTCCACGTGATTAGGCAAAATCTTGATCATAAGTATAAAATAAAAAATTCCATATATAAGTATTTTAGAAAAAGTTATAGGAATCTTGATCACATAAACCATGACGCAAGATTTTAACAAACCCATTTAATAATAACGATAAGACACAAAAAAAAAAACACTGACGCGGCATCATTTGTATAACATACAAGGGCTTTATGTTAGCGTAACACTATAGACGTGACAACCAGAAATTTAGTATTAAACATACACTCATTCAATATCCTCTATTCATCATGATTTCGATGATTAAAATGTTTTCTTTGTTAACACATTATGTAAAACAAACGGGGGTGTTTGACAAAAGTTTGATCTTGTTTCCTCTTATGCTGACCGGTAGCATACTTGATGCCTTTCCAGCAGTCATGACTAGCATATCAGAATTTAAGGCTACATTACATGACCGTTGCTCTCCCTTGTTGGTCGTCATTTCTTTGTGTAAAGGTTTGTATTCATATTCATCCAGTGAGCCTGTCAATGAAAACAATAAATGCATGCTAATATAAACTTTGTAGGCTCCATGATCAACGCCGTATGAACACAGTGTTTCTAAATATAAAATTTCACCACTATATTGATCTGCCTTTTTGCTAAAGCCTGTGCTAGGGGGCGTGAACGGAAACTTGCACTTTCCAGTACCGTCCATGAACAGGCTCAATCAAACTTGCAACATTGTCAATTTTGGCGTTTTGAAAGTTTTTTTGGGATTCCGTTTTTTCTCTGAAATTAGAAGGATAGTGATCAGACTGTAATGTTGGTTTCTGTCTCTTGTTAAACTTAAGATGATTATTAAGATTCTAACAAAAGGTATTTATTAAGTTAAAATTTAGATTTTAAAATTTATTGACACTTTGCATGAAGGAGATATTACAGAAACTGTTCTGTTATTTTCCGTTATTCATAACAGACATGTGCTAAACATATAATAAATGTGTTGTTTATCAGGCATTATTTGAAAATTATAACTTTACAATTTTTATCCGGTAAAGAAGAATATTATTTGCATGGTGTAAATTGCTTTCAGTTAACATTTACATTTCAAAAATATGGACAAATTATATTAACTAAACGAAAGACATGTTCACTTAAATGTTAAGAAAACTGTAATCGCCCAGATAAATCTTTGAAATACCAACACATATTTGATAAAGGGCCTTTAAATTCAAACAGTTTTTGTTCTCATAAATTGTATATATTTAAGCGTTATTAAACTTCAATTACATAAAAGGAAAATGGCAGTCAGTCTTGTATTAAACGTTTTTCTTATCTTTTCATGCATTTGTTGCTTGGTGCATTGTGAATGTCCAAGAAATGGAACATGTTGTGACCAGTTCCAGTGTGAATACAGTTTATACAAGAAACTTATTGAGTTAGAAAGCAAACTTGGTTCTTTGGAAATTCAATAAGAAGGTAATTTTATTGATATTCACAAGCTCGTTTTTGAATTAATCAATCCTGTTCTGGTTAAGCAATAAATGATATCCTATTTTTATTTATCTATTTTTTATGACAGTTCGTTCGAACGGAAACAATTTTTATTCAAAACCAAAGAAGAACTGTTCTGTTTATAGACAAAATCACAAATTGTTAACCTTAGATTTAGTTGTCGGTGTTAGATTAACAAATAAATGAAATAAGCATGTTTTTAATTCGTATGGTGTTTTGACATAATTGATACTTTTGGCAGCTATTCGCTAGGGACTTAAATTGTTGGTGATTATATAACAGACATTTGAAATTTGTTATTGAATGTGGTCGATTAGAAAAATGATGATTGCAAGTAAAATATCAAAATATGGTAAACTGAATTATATATGCGGAAATATTTTCAGAAAGTCGTAACAAAATAGAAAAAGCTCCAAAAAGCGGATCAACCTATGTACGATGGGGACGAACGACATGTAGGGGTGATTCAAAGGAAGTTTATAACGGATATGCCGCAGGGTCGCACCACGCGGAGCCTGGTGCAGCTGCCAATGTCCTTTGCCTTACAAAATCACCTAAATGGGGACAATATACGTCAACAGTTGAATCAGGCGGCGCCTTTATTTACGGGGCTGAGTATAGTGTGTACATGTACACTGACTGGAAGTACTTACAGGACCATGACGTACCTTGTGTGGTTTGCCAAGTTCCACGAAGTGATATTTTGATGGTCCCTGGCAATAACATTTGCCCAACAGGATACAAGATAGAATACAATGGCTATCTAATGGCTGGACATACCCGAGGGTCTGTTGCGTCTGAACACTTCTGCGTAGATTCTCTTCCGGAGAAATTATATGGTGGCGACGGAGATAAAACCGCAAAAGTATTCTGTTTCGTTCAAGCTATATGCGGTTCTCTAAAATGCCCACCGTATGTGAATGGACGGGAACTTACTTGTGCTGTATGCTCACGTTAGCTTTTGTGCTATATACTGTGCTTTAAAAACATTAAAAAAATGTTTCAACTTTGAGAACTCAGGTGTATTGAGTCCGATATCATGTTAATGCTAATAACAAGCAAATAAAGAAATAAACACATTTTCTCTGATTTGTTAACATAGATCAGTTGTTATGCCACAATTATTGTAATACTTTCTTGAAAATATCATAATTTTTAATAAAATTATTTTTGCTAAAATGTAAACCATTATAAAATAAAAACAATTTAATCTTTGTTAAAAAAATGCAAATTTGAATGCAATTTATTTTAAAATTTTAATGCGTTTGTGTTATATACTGTGCTTTAAAAACATTAAAAACATGTTTCAACTTTGAGAACTCAGGTGTAATGAGTCCGATATCATGTTAATGCTAATAACAAGCAAATAAAGAAATAAACACACTTTCTCTGATTTGTTAACATAGATCAGTTGTTATGCCACAATTATTGTAATACTTTCTTGAAAATATCATAATTTTTAATAAAATTATTTTTGCTAAATGTAAAAATATTATAAAATAAAAACAATTTAATCTTTGTTAAAAAATGCAAATTTGAATGCAATTTATTTTAAAATTTTAATGCTATTTAATTTTATTATATTTTTGATCTATGTAATTTAACGACATAAATAATATTAATGTGTTAAACAGAAATTACCTTTTACAATTTCTTTTATTAAAAAAGTTGTTTGATATTCTTTATCATTATGTCGATATATTGATTCTGATTTCAATAGTAACTTTAAGATACCTTAGAACGTGAATATGAAATAACGAAAAAGTTGCTCAACTTATTTCTTAACCAGATGGGAATAGTTTGTCGCAAGTATATACAGATGTTGACATAACACGGAAAACACAAGCTAGAGAAAAAACAAACGCATGTTACACCATAAACGAACGAGAGTTGAACACATGTTAAACAAACGAAATACGCAAAGACACACGCAAAACGATATACACAAAACGATAAACGCTCTCTCGAACCTTTGAACGTATACAAAATAAAAACATTTCTAACCGTTCAATAAACTATAACTTTAGATCGCTATACAATGTATTTTAATGATTTTATTAAATGATAAGCATGTTGATTCTTTAAGGGTTCATATTAAAAATACATCACACACATGAAATAAGTTTTAACAATAATGTCTGTCTGTATTTTGCATTAGTTTCGTCTTAAAATCAATACCTTTAGTGCGGCGACAAGGAACACTTCCTCATTGCTGGTGGATCTGATCATCAAGGTCTGCCCTGTTAGAAAAAGTACTATTACATGAATGTCAAGCCAATTTAATAGACAAAAATTATTTCACAATATGCTAAAAATATTCATTCATATGAAAGGGTAAGAAACATGTGCATCCTGAAGGGGATTTGAACTTAAGACCATCAGAATACAATACATCGGCACCACAAAATGGACCCAGAACCCCCGGAATATCGAATCGCAGCTGTACGGCTCAACCCTCACCTAATAAATGATCAGCTTTAGGAGGCTTATACCCTCATGGCACGATGTTGGGCGTCAGGTTAAGAAAGACGAAAGATCTCCGTACTTCCGTGATTTCGTATGAATGTGTAGAACAAGGGATTTGTTTAACAAATGAACTAGTCATAAAAATGATTTTCAAAAAGGCTATGTTTTTAATGAAATAATTGTTTTATTTCAATCTGAAATTGTGACAGGTATACACTGACATTTATCAAAATGATTGAAAAAAGTATACTAGTCTTATCCTTTATAACAAAAAAAATCCTGGTTTAAAAATCTGGGGAAAGGTGATTTTCGGAATTATTAATCACATCAAAATTACATGAAAATTGAAGACTCGGTTTGATTTTGTCTGAACATGAAGGATAATGAAAAAGTGCAACACCCCTCGCGCAACCTATACCCGGCTTGAGCGGTACTAAATTGTCAACATTTCAATCCTTGTCTTAATAAATCACCTCTATCTATCCAACAAGATGTATAATTTTGCATATTAAAGTTGTTAGAAGGATAGTGATCAGACTGTAATGTTGGTTTCTGTCTCTTGTTAAACTTAAGATTATTATTAAGATTCTAACAAAAGGTATTTATTAACTTAAAATTTAGATTTTAAAATTTATTGACACTTTGCATGAAGGAGATATTACAGAAACTGTTCTGTTATTTTCCGTTATTCATAACAGATATGTGCTAAACATATAATAAATGTGTTGTTTATCAGACATTATTTGAAAATTATAACTTTACAATTTTTATCCGGTAAAGAAGAATATTATTTGCATGGTGTAAATTGCTCTCAGTTAACATTTACATTTCAAAAATATGGACAAATTATATTAACTAAACGAAAGACATGTTCACTTAAATGTTAAGAAAACTGTAATCGCCCAGATAAATCTTTGAAATACCAACACATATTTGAAAAAGGGCCTTTAAATTCAAACAGTTTTTGTTCTCATAAATTGTATATATTTAAGCGTTATTAAACTTCAATTACATAAAAGGAAAATGGCAGTCAGTCTTGTATTAAACGTTTTTCTTATCTTTTCATGCATTTGTTGCTTGGTGCATTGTGAATGTCCAAGAAATGGAACATGTTGTGACCAGTTCCAGTGTGAATACAGTTTATACAAGAAACTTATTGAGTTAGAAAGCAAACTTGGTTCTTTGGAAATTCAATTAGAAGGTAATTTTATTGATATTCACAAGCTCGTGATATCCTATTTTTATTTATCTATTGTTTATGACAGTTCGTTCGAACGGAAACAATTTTTATTCAAAACCAAAGAAGAACTGTTCTGTTTATAGACAAAATCACAAATTGTTAACCTTAGATTTAGTTGTCGGTGTTAGATTAACAAATAAATGAAATAAGCATTTTTTTAATTGGTGTTTTGACATAATTTATACTTTTTGGCAGCTATTCGCTAGGGACTTAAATTGTTGGTGATTATATAACAGACATTTGAAATTTGTTATTGAATGTGGTCGATTAGAAAAATGAAAATGCAAGTAAAATATCAAAATATGGTAAACTGAATTATATATGCGGAAATATTTTCAGAAAGTCGTAACAAAATAGAAAAAGTTCCAAAAAGCGGATCAACCTACGTACGATGGGGACGAACGACATGTAGAGGTGATTCAAAGGAAGTTTATAACGGATATGCCGCAGGGTCGCACCACGCGGAGCCTGGTGGAGCTGCCAATGCCCTTTGCCTTACAAAGTCACCTAAATGGGGACAGTATACGTCAACAGTTGAATCAGGCGGCGCCTTTATTTACGGGGCTGAGTATAGTGTGTACATGCACACTGACTGGAAGCACTTACAGGACCATGACGTACCTTGTGTGGTTTGCCAAGTTCCACGAAGTGATATTTTGATGGTCCCTGGCAGTAACATTTGCCCAACAGGATACAAGATAGAATACAATGGCTATCTAATGGCTGGACATACCCGAGGGTCTGTTGCGTCTGAATACCTCTGCGTAGATTCTCTTCCGGAGAAATTATATGGTGGCGACGGAGATAAAACAGCAAAAGTATTCTGTATCGTTCAAGCTATATGCGGTTCTCTTAAATGCCCACCGTATGTGAATGGACGGGAACTTACTTGTGCTGTATGCTCACGTTAGCTTTTGTGTTATATACTGTGCTTAAAAACATAAAAAAATGTTTCAGCTTTGAGAACTCAGATTGATTTTGATATCATGTTAATGTTAATAACAAGCAAATAAAGAAATAAACACATTTTCTCTGATTTGTTAACATAGATCAGTTGTTATGCCACAATTATTGTAATACTTTTCTTGAAAATATCATAATTTTTAATAAAATTATTTTTTGCTAAAATGTAAACCATTATAAAATAAAAACAATTTAATCTTTGTTAAAAAAATGCAAATTTGAATGCAATTTATTTAAAATTTTAATGCGTTTGTGTTATATACTGTGCTTAAAAACATAAAAAAATGTTTCAGCTTTGAGAACTCAGATTGATTTTGATATCATGTTAATGTTAATAACAAGCAAATAAATAAATAAATAAGCACACATTCTCTGATTTGTTAACATAGATCTGTTGTAAAATCACAATTATTGTAATACTTTCTCGAAAATATCATAATTTTTAATAAAATTATTTTTGCTAAATGTAAAAATATTATAAAATAAAAACAATTTAATCTTTGTTAAAAAATGCAAATTTGAATGCAATTTATTTTAAAATTTTAATGCTATTTAATTTTATTATATTTTTGATCTATGTAATTTAACGACATAAATAATATTAATGTGTTAACAGAAATTACCTTTTTACAATTTCTTTTATTAAAAAAGTTGTTTGATATTCTTTATCATTATGTCGATATATTGATTCTGATTTCAATAGTAACTTTAAGATACCTTAGAACGTGAATATGAAATAACGAAAAAGTTGCTCAACTTATTTCTTAACCAGATGGGAATAGTTTGTCGCAAGTATATACAGATGTTGACATAACACGGAAAACACAAGCTAGAGAAAAAACAAACGCATGTTACACGCTAAACGAACGAGAGTTAAACACATGTAAAACAGACGAAATGCACAAAGATTCATGCAAAACGATATACGCAAAACGATAAACGCTCTCTCGAAACCTTTGAAAGTACACAAAATAAAAACATTTCTAACAGTTCAATAAAATAAAACTTAAGATCGCTATATTATTTTAATGATTTGATTAAATGATAAGCATGTTGATTCTTTAAGGGTTCATATTAAAAAATACATCACACACATGAAATAAGTTTTAACAATAATGTCTGTCTGTATTTTGCATTAGTTTCGTCTTAAAATCAATACCTTTAGTGCGGCGACAAGGAACACTTCCTCATTGCTGGTGGATCTGATCATCAAGGTCTGCCCTGTTAGAAAAAGTACTATTACATGAATGCCAAGCCAATTTAATAGACAAAAATTATTTCACAATATGCTAAAAATATTCATTCATATGAAAGGGTAAAAACATGTGCATCCTGAAGGGGATTTGAACTTAAGACCATCAGAATACAATACATCGGCACCACAAAATGGACCCAGAACCCCCGGAATATCGAATCGCAGCTGTACGGCTCAACCCTCACCTAATAAATGATCAGCTTTAGGAGGCTTATACCCTCATGGCACGATGTTGGGCGTCAGGTTAAGAAAGACGAAAGATCTCCGTACTTCCGTGATTTCGTATGAATGTGTAGAACAAGGGATTATTTTAACAAATGAACTAGTCATAAAAATGATTTTCAAAAAGGCTATGTTTTTAATAAAATAATTGTTTTATTTCAATCTGAAATTGTGACAGGTATACACTGACATTTATCAAAATGATTGAAAAAAGTATACTAGTCTTATCCTTTATAGGTATAAAAATCTGGGGAAAGGTGATTTTCGGAATTATTTATCACATCAAAATTACATGAAAGTTGCAGACTCGGTTTGATTGTGTCTGAACATGAAGGATAATGAAAAAGTGCAACATCCCTCGCGCAACCTACCTCCAGTTTGAGCGGTACTAAACTGTCAACATTTCAACCATTGTCTTCATAAATCACCTCTATCTATCCAACAAGATGTATAATTTTGCATATTAAAGTTATACCTTCTTACCTTTTCCATTTTGTACAGCTAGCAATGAGTATATACAACATCAATACGACTTTTGAAAGTTTCGTACACTCTTTTTTATATTTATGATGTTGACTCTTACATTGGCACTTGACATATAATGTTATTTGTTTCTGCTAATGAATACAGTTCTTGAAGGTTTTATTCATACTTAATGAAATTTTGGTAAATGTTTATGTAAATGTCTTCAGAAGATAAAAGGAATACTATAATTATCATACATTTATTTTATGCTTGTGAGTGGATTACTGTTTATCCGTGAAAATTATATTTGACGATTTCACAGTGAAAATTTTAAAAATATAATTTCACAATTTTTAAAGAATTTCTAGTCTAATATAAATTCGCCGTAAGTAACGGAAATAAGGTGGAATGGTCTACTAGAATTGTTAGTTTTTATTATTAAAACAAGCGATCATTCATATATTTTTATGCCCCCGAAGGGAGGATATTAAAATTGCACCGTCTGTCTGTGCGTCAAAACTTCATTCCTGTCCGGACTGTAACTTTGTCATAAATTGAGGGATTTTGAAATGTCTACAACATCAAGACGATTGTTTGCGTCCAAGAACCACGTCCCTACCTCAAAGGTCAAGGTCACACTATCATTTTGAAGTTTCACATTATCGCAATAAGATTAAATGGTACACACACTCTTGTCCGGACTGTAACTTTTTCATGCATCAAATGATTAAAAAAATATAGGCATACATGTCTACCACATCAAGACGATGTGTCGCGTCTACGAATTACGTCCCCTACTTCAAACGTCATGTCACACTAACATTTTGAAGTTTCACATTTATTTATCACAATTAGAAATAATAGGTACACACAATCCTGTCCGGGCTGTAACTTTGTCATGTATCAAAGGATTTTAGAAAAACTTGGCATAAATGTCAACCACATAGAGACAATGTGTGGTGTCTAATAATCAATTCCGTACCTCAAAGGTCAAGATCACAATAACATTTTGAATTTTCGCTTTATCACTATATGAGTTTATAGGTACCCACATTTGTGTCCGGATTTAATGCATGGAAGGATTTAAGAATAACTTGGCATAAATATCAAACACATAAAGACAATGTGTCGCGTCTAATAATCACGAACCTACCTAAAAGGTCAAGGTCACACTGCCAGTGTGAAGTTCACTTTATAACAATTACAGTTTATAGGTACACACATTCGTGTCCGTACTGTAACTTTGTCATTCATCGAAGGATTTTAAAATCACAAGGCATACATGTCTACCACATCAAGACGACATGTCGCGACTAAGACCCATGTCCCTACCTTCAAGGTCACACTTATAGCCCGTGTGTCTCCACTTACACAACAATCATGTCCAGACTCTAACTCTGTCATGCCTTGAGGGATTCTGAAATAACTAGGCAGACATGTCTATTTCTTTACATCATTCTGTCGCGTCAAGGAACCACGTCCCTTCTTCGAAGGTCAAGGTCACACTTATATTTTGAATGTTCACGTTATTACAATAAGGGATTAGGTGTACAATAATACAAAGAACAATATTAAGCAACAAGTAACTTTCATTCTCTTTTCTTTTCATAATACTTGCATGCTTAGAAAACCTTTTTGGGGGCATTCGTCACCTGGGTGACAGTTATTGCTTGATAAAGTAATTAATATCCCCGCCATTTAATGTTTATTTTCGAACTTATTTTTCAGCTCTAGACTTCTACTATTTATGAGAAATTCAACTGAAAATGAGGCTACCAGTGGGGAAAACGGATTTTAATATTAAAGTTAATATTGAGGAAATTTCATTTAAACTTGTTTTAGGCATAAAAAAGAAAAAATGTTTGTTTGTTGTGTAAGATGTAATTTAATTTCATCTCGTAAACTAATAAAACAGTATTCTCTCTCGTGGCTACGTCACTCGGGAGAAAACTGTTATTAAAACCCACTCGATGAAATAAACAAACAAACAAATATCCTATGGTTATTGAATACCGATTATAGCAACATTGAAATAGATAATAGCAGAATTTCTAAAGAAAGTTGTTCGTTTCATTAAGTTTAATGTTGTTTTCTTTTCCCAGAATTTATACGTTTCTTGGATGTTTTATTCAATACTCAAAATAACTGTCTATGGAAACCTTCCCCTTCCAAATATTCATTTAGTCTCTCCCATAGTTTTCTCATTTAGGGCACACTCATTCTTTTACTTTGAGACCCATACGCTACTTTTCTGCAGATGTTTATTAATAGATACACTATTTTTATGCTTAAATGTTAAATACTGCTTAAGCTTGTAAAAGATGAGGAGGACGATAGTTTGTATGCTGGGGCAAAGGTTCATATTGGTTGTTCATTTCATTACATTTAAACTTAAGGTTGATAAAGATGAACATGGTTTCACTGATAAGTAAAGCAATCACATTTTACGTATCTGATAAAATCTGTTTTTGATTTTATTTCAAAAGTCCGTTACAAATTATAAAAATGTAACTAAAACTACTCCATTAATTTTATTTTTATTGTTTTTTCGTAAACAATCAATAGGAACACCTTGACTATTATTTATAATTACCTGAAACTTAATACGGATTGAAAGTAATTCTACCACGTGGTTTTAGATGTAAACAAAATACTATTTAGAGAGAAAAAAAGAATATTTAAAGAAAGCACAACACGGCAATAATGCAGGATCAGTTTGATTGAACATGTTCATGGACGGTACTAGAAAGTGCAAGTTGTACTCGCAAGTGTGTACTTTTTGCTAATGTATAACGAGATTCTCAATGTATCTATTTGAAAGCCAAAAGTAAATTTGGGTCTATTTCGGTAGCATTATGACTGGTCATACCTCTAAAAAACATAATCAATTTAAAATGCCCTTTGATGTAAAATTTAAACTATGATCAATAAGGAAATAAATCAAGGGGCATAGGGAAGATGCTTACCCTAGACGAGAAAACAACAAGGGACACAAGCAAAAGTGTCACCAAAACAGTATGAAACAACATAGACATACATCTGAGTAACACAGAGGGGCGCCGCCTTGAAACGGTCAGCAGCACAAGTACTGCTGGGGAGTTTAAACCGGTAAATGGTGCACCAAACCTCACTCTTATATAAAAGTAAACCCAATGTCCATAACAAAAGTACTCAATGTCCTAAAGGAAGACATAGCAACAAGAAAGTGACCTACACGGACCCGACGAAGCAAGGCAGAAGACGAACATTAAGGTAATTCAGTCCCAAAGGGATTTAAGAACTATCCATCACTTGGTCCGTCAGATGTAATAAAAAGAGGAAAACGTAGTGTCCAACTGAAAAAGGGTTCAACACTAAGCATGCAGTATGTCTTAAAATAGTAGGGCCATAACCTCTTTTAATAACACGTTTAATGATTTTAGTAAAACAGCAGAAAATTACCATGACCCAGACATCACATCGCCATAAAAACCAGGCTGGCTAATCCTTGTTGAATTTAGAAATTAAATCAAAATTGCGATTGTAAAATTTTGTAAAACATTTCCGTAATTGATGATAGCGGTAGCCCTGTTTTAGAAGCTTGCTTGTAATGAAAATGTTCCGCTCTTTGAAATCCTTTACGTTGCTACAAGCTTTTGCGAATCTTATTAACTGAGAAGCGTATACCCCGTAAGATGTTGCATGGGGTACGTCTCCATCTAAATGAGGATAATTAACTATACAAAAATCAAAGTCATCTCTTTTATCATAGATTTCCGTGTGGATTAAGTTTTTGTTAAGTTGTAGTTCATGGGGATAAATGTCAGACACCGTTTGATCAAAATAAGAATTATCTTAATTTACAAATATCATCAAGGTATCTGGAAGGATTATTGAAAGCGACTATTACATCTTGTTGTTTATCTTCAGAGAGACTCAACATAAAGTCTCTTTCATAGCATTATCAAAACAAATCGGCGACCAGGGGTGCACAATTAGTACCCATGGGAATTCCTATGATTTGTTTAAATAGGGTATTACCAAACCTGACATAAATGTTTAAAAGAAAAGAGAGTGCTCTACAAACGTCGTCACAGGTTTACATAGTATAGTGTTTAACAACACAGTTATTAAAGAAAAGCTTTGTTCGAATTAAATCCAACACGAATAAATTTCAACAGGTAGACAATTTTTACTTTTGATTTCTGAGACTTTATGTTGATGTAAAGATAATATTCTGTTTATTATTATATTGATTAATTGACTTAATTTATGTGAACTTTTTATCGATATACTGTAATGAATAGTCAATAACTAATAGCATTAAATTACTGTTCGATAATTATAACATGTTCAGTTCCTAAGCGTCTACTTAGCTAGACCGAAATACCGATGTCATCACGACCAGAAAATGTGTTCCTATCAAAAACAAGTGAAACTTATTTTAAGCGAAGGATTTTATTAGTAAATTTTCAAACTTATAGGTTTAACTTTTTATATGACACATTCTTTAAATAAAATTTGCATCATGGATTTCTGCTTTAAATTCCAGAAAATAGAAGTGTAAATATTAGTCTTCACATTCTCCACCTATATACTGCCGGAGGTCAAAATATGTCATACTGTAACAAATGACGAAAATGGATGCGATCATCAAGCGAGCATCAGACTAACAATGTATGAGTGTTTCTACAAGAGCATAAGTGGCATTTGAGCTCATGTGACTATGGTTTGTGCAAAAATAAAAAAAAAACTTTCAGAAGCATTCGTTAAGGGGATGAACTCTATTCAGCAGAAAACGAGGATTGTCGACAACTTGCGTGCCATAGCAAGCGACATTATGTAGTTGTGTAGTAACCGCCAGTCTGTCATTGCCACAGAGATAAGAGCTTACTATTCAGTCTTGGGGACATTAGATTGAAGTAGTGATACAGTATGTCAGTGACTTCTTTTTCAAAACTAAATGAAATCTCACATATATATAACTTTCAAGACGATGTGACGATGTATATTTTTTGGATGAGAATATAGATGAAAAATGAAAAACGGCATTTGATGTACTCTGAATATAGTTTGAGAATCACTCGATCATTGATAAAAAATACATCTTTCTAGTAATTTGAGACAAAAAATCGTTATGATTTTAATTTTCATGTTCTCTGTCAACATATTTTGAAACAGCAAACTAAAGATGTAGTAAACATATTGATTTACTTTGTTCTAAATTTCGATGTCCTACAATGTGTCCTTTCGAAACCAAACATTATCGGGGGACTTCATTACAATAACATTGCTCCCCTTGTCGATCATCACTTCTTCCGCATTAGTATTCATTTTTGTTTATTGTGCCTCATTATGAATGTGCTGAATGCAATCTACTGTAATGATACGAACAAACAAAAACCATAAGAGTCAAATGTTTGCTTTTTCCAGGAGTTTGAAGAAATGTTAGCGATGAAATATCATTGTCAATAAATAGTTTAACTTTAATTTATATAGTCAAGTATTGTCATATGAGAAAAGTACATAAAGTAAAACGGGTACACTGGTAACAGTAGGTCAAAAGTATTTAAATTTTGTGGAAAAAAAAATTGCCACATGCCTCTATTGTATTTAAAATATCTTTTACTTCCTCATTTTATTGTTTCAACATAACCAAACACGAGATACAATCAAGGAATATATCGCTTTAAAATGGATCTTATGGTGATAAAAGCAAACGCAATAATCTAAATATTTTAGTGAAACAATAAGTATCCACTCCTAAAAGATTGAATCACGCAATAGAATAGATTAAATATGAAAAGGCATTCCATGCCTTTATGGCTTACTCTTTTCTATTTTGTTACAAAGGCAAAGTTACAAGATGATGCATAATTTTGAATAAAAAAGTTAACAAAATGTTAAGTTTATAATGTATTTGATTAATTTAGCGCTTGTAATAAACAGGGCATTTTTCTAATCATAACGTAGATATCCAGACATTTTACAGACATTTAATCATTGATTATTTAATAAATACTTATCACTATCTAAATGAGAACGAGAATTTTCCAAATAAACATGAAAATTATTATATCTGCACATGTTTTACATGTATATCACTTCATACATGCTTTGTAAAACGGCCGAACATTTTGTTAACTAAGACTATGAATACACTATTTTAATCTAATCAATTGCTTACAGTTAACCATATGGACACGCAAATTTCGCCTTTTAGGTAAACTGTATTCGCTCAGATAAATGTTAGAAATGCTGACACTTATATGACAGAGTACCTTTAAAATGTAAACGACTTTACTTCTGTCCTCGTTTATATCATAAGTTTAGGCCAGTAGAATTTAAACGCTTCAAATGATAATGGCAGTCAGTATTGTATTATACGTAAATATTTTCCTAGCAAGCATTTTTTATTTTGTTCATTGTGATGGAACGTATTGTGACAAGTACCAGTGTGAATACAGTTTATTCAAGAAAGTTATTGAGTTGGAAAGCAAGCTTGATTCTTTGGAATTTAGATTAGAAGGTATTTTATTTCTATACAACTATTCCTGAGCCCTATTAGAAGTCTCTTGATAATCCGACATTGAAAAACAAATATACAAAAATATGTACATAATTTTACTTTTTGTCTCATTTGTTGAAAACAAAATTCTATTTACTAAATACCGCAAATTGCTCTCTTTTGAAAAAAGTCAAGAATGCTTAAACTTGAATTAAAACATATTTTAGTTATGCCAGAGCTAAATCATTTACATAACTTTTAAGACAACTTAGTTCTTATAGCTCTGATAGCTCTTTGTTAGGTTCTTAAATCGTAGGGTCTTAAATTGTTGGTTATTTTATAAGAAACAATCTATAGTTGTACTTCAATAAGGTTGCTTAGAAAAATAAAATAACAAATAAAAAAAGCATCAAGTGGTAAATTTGACATAAATGATTCGGATTTTTTTCAGAAAATCGTAAGGAATCGGAAAACGCTCCTAGAAGCGGCGGATCAACCTATGTACGATGGGGACGAACGACATGTAGAGGAGATTCAAAGGAAGTTTACAATGGATATGCCGCGGGGTCGCAGTACAGGCAGTCTGGTGGAGCAGCTAATGCCCTTTGCCTTACAAAGTCACCTAAATGGGGACGATATACATCAAAGGTAGAATCAGGCGGCGCCTATATTTACGGGGCTGAATATAGTGTGTACATGTACACGGACTGGACGTACTTGCATGACCATGACGTACCTTGTGTGGTTTGCCAAGTTCCACGAAGTGATATTTTGATGGTTCCTGGCAGTAACATTTGCCCAACAGGATACAAGTTCGAATACAATGTCTATCTAATGGCTGGACATTACGGAAAGTCTGCTGCTTCTGAATACCTCTGCGTAGATTCTCTTCCGGAGAAATTATATGGTGGCGACGGAGATAAGAACGCAAAATTATTTAGTTTTGTTCAAGCTAAGTGTGGTTCTCTTAAATGTCCACCGTATGTAAATGGACAGGAACTTACTTGTGCTCTATGCTCACGCTAGCCTTTTTATGATTGTATAGTGCTTAGGAAACATAAGGAAGTACTCTAATTTTTGAACCTCTTATGTATCTAACCGTTTTCATGTTAACGTTTATTACAATCAAACGAAAAAAAACTGCTCTGATTCGTTTATAAAAATCAGATGTAATCTCTATTGTTACACTTTCTTGAAAATGTCATATTTGATAAAACTATTTTGCTAAAAATGTAAACCATTATAAACAGTTTTGTATTTGTGCAGAGAATACGCAAATTTGAAAGCTATTTATTTTATAAAATATATTCTATTAAACGACACTTCCTTATTAAAAATGCTATATTACGTACATGCAGTTCACAAAATTGTCGTATTTTATTTTTAAATTGATATAGTGATTCCAATTTGAAAAGAAATCTACTTCAGAAAGCAATATTACAAAAAGAAAAATGCTGTCATACTTGATTGGAATAGTATTGCGCACGTTTATACATATCTTTGATCATAACAGATCTCTTTAACAAATTTAGATAATAGACTCTTGCTTCATTACAATACGGTGAAGGTTTTGGTAAAAAGGAAACTGCAAACTATCGAAAATGCAAGCACATTACACGATAAGCGAAAGTTGAAGGTACGGTTTGATAATCGAATTGCACAGACCAGTTTATGCTAAGAGATATAGGAAAAAATATAAAGGGTCTCTTGAAATGTAGGAGGCACGTTAAATAACAATAGTCTCAAAACGTTCAATAAAATATCATATTTTTACAAACTAAGTGCCAAGATGATAATTAACCGATTTGATTAAATGATATATAAGGGTATATAAATGACCCTTTTCAAAAATTTTATACTTCAGTAAAGAGGTATCAAGTGCCGTTTGGCAGTAATTAAAATTTGTTGGATATTTTCGCCTTCGGGATCATCGATTTCAACACGTTGAAGTGTTGAAAACTGAGTTCCGCTCAAGACGGTCCTAGAGGCAGTAAGGGAAGTTGCACTTAAGATTTTCATTATCTCTCATGTACAGACACAATCAAACTGAGCCTGCAAGTTTCATGTAATTTTGTTGTTACCGATGCTTCCGAGGGATCACACTCTTCCAGATTTTATATTGAAATAACAACATAACTTTTAACAATAATGTCTGGCTATAAAATGCGTACATTGCGCAGTTCTGAAAACAAACTAAGAATTAGAATAGGTTTGTAGTCGATGAAAGTGTTGAATGATGGCGGATGCTTACAATTATTTATCATGGATATTTATCACGCTAACACCATTTCCTGCGTGGGTAAAAATAAAAACAGAATGAAAAACGCTTAAACAAACCAAGGGTTATTTTCTTCGTAGCGGCGAACGCAATAAAGAGGGGTTTTTTTACACAAAAGAGAACCAAATCAGACTGGTAGACCAGCATATTCCACGAGACCATCATTCGCCTATAAGTGCTAGTATGCGTATGCGCCGGCCAATCCACACAAGTCTATGATATGTACCGAAAACTGTGTTATATCTAGAATTTTAACTATTATTTTTGGACTCACATTTTAAGCGTGCAAAATAAAATAGTTGGAAGATCAACCACATGCTCCCCTATCGGCTGAGAGGCGTATTTTACTCTATTGATCCGGAGAAAGGGTGATTCCTCGGAGATATTGATCACAACAAAATGATAACCGCCGTATGAACACATCTGCGGATGTTTCTAAACTCATTATTTCACAATTACCATTATAAATTGTTGCATTCAGGGAGCGTGGACGGTAATTTGCACTTTCCATTACCATCCATGAACCTGCAACATGTTCAATTTTGTCGTTTTGGACGTTGTTTAGAGATCCCTTTTTTCTGAATTTGATTGAGACTGTACACAGGAAATCTCAACAATAGCACACTACGTTTCATAATGATTTACATCCTTATTTATAATTAAAAGCACTAAAACGTGCCGTAAACACACTGGTAGTAACAAGAGTAATCAGAAAAACTCATGAACACTTGAAAAATCGGGCATAAATTTGATAGCCTGGTCTGAATGTTTGCACTTTTCCATTAGGTTATTAGGTATGGCAGGGAAGAAGTTCACAAACGAACAGGTCAATATGTACGAATGAGCAAACAATTTGGAAATTTTACTAAAAACTACCAGATTTTAAACAAGAGGCAATGAAACTTTGACTATTAAGTTTCTGACACATTATACAATATGTATTGTAAACTGAATCATCAAAGTTTAAATAAGCACCTCAAACTCTCTTTATAGGTGAAAAATACCATTGTTTCTTCGGTATACACAAGTCTTCCGACGAAAAACATAACGTTTTCAATGAATTCCGTGACAGTAATTCCTGAGAACTTCATCCTCCTAGCGTGTAGCCTCCCCCGTGAGTTTGTTACCTCATAATTAATAGCGGATATTGGCAATCTTTATTGAAGCCAGAAATAATAAAGTAGGAACTATGATAAACAAGATAAACAAGGGAAGGCGGCGTTCAATGTAACCAAATATCAATTGCATTTTTTATTATTAAAACAGTGCAATTAAGGTTAACTTGTACCATATAGATCAATATATCCAATATCAATTCCGTAAGACAGTATGTGGTGGAATTCCGACTATATTCACCCTTCCCAGTTCCTCCCCTGATGTTAACCGTCGCTAACTGGGGAACTAAACGCACGTCGAAATAACAGAGTGCCTTGTTTGTTGTCGCCTGTAGTCTCGTAGGGGTTACGTTTATTGAACGCTGTACTTCCTTGTTGATATTAGTTTTCAAATTTCACTTTATTTTGTTTTATCAATAATATTAGCAGAGACTTTTTACAAACACCACTTGTCTGAATTGTCTTTCACACATTCAACTAATTTACATTTCGCACGTTTCAATTTAAATGAAACAATTGATTTTGTTTTAATATTTACAAAACAACTAAATAATTAATTGTTCTTTAGCTGGAACTTGATGTCATTCATAAAAAACTAGACTTTTAAATGGGTGACACGTTTTTTAAATTAACATATGAATGTCAATTTATAAACAAATATTATTTGTGTTTATTTTATGCTTTTAAGTGGATTATTGATTTATCCGTGAAAATTATATTTGATAATTTCACACTGAAAATTATCAAAATAACATTTCACGCTTCAATGACAAACTACGTTTTAAAGATTTTCTCCATGTGGTACCTCAAATTTATTTTTGCTGACAATTCTGACAATGTCAGGGCTGTTTATAGAAAAACAAAGCTGAAATTGATAAATAACTTAAATTTAAAAAGTAAAAGAACGAAAAAACTTACTTCAATTCATTCAAATAACCAATCACTGAATCACCAAATATCGTCTCTCAATCTTTTGTTTCATTGTTACAGTTAAAATATGCATCCTTCCATATGCAAAACTGCTCTTGATGACATTTGGGCATATTTAAGTACCCTACGAGTAATAACTGCCTAATGCAAAATGAAATCTTCAAAAACAATGACAGTCATCAGCCTGAAGAATAAGTAAACAACTCAGGGCTCGTAGGACAACCTTTCAACAATTCCATGTTTTCCTATTTCGTAGCCCCTTTTTGAATATTTACACATCTGTCAACAATTATTTATTGTCTGTAACAATTTTCAAATAGGTTTTATTTATTATAAAAAGATGTAGGATTAACAAATTCAAATGATATCTCTCTGAATCAAACACAATGATGTTATTCCCTTGAAAAACACAACTTTTAAAAATGGCGGCCTCTTATATTCCTCAATGGTCTAATATAAATTCGCCTTATCTAACGGAAATAAGGTCGGATGGTGTGACTTTTTCCTACTAGAATTGTTTGTTTTTGATTTTTAAAACAAGGGATCATTCATGTTTTTGGAATAAAATAAATAATATCATCGCCATTTAACGTAGATTTTCGAACGTATGTTTTCAGCTAGAGACTTCTTTGACAAAAATGAAGCTACCAGTGGGGAAAACGGAATGAAAATTTAAAGATAATATGGAGGAAATTTCATTTAAACTTATTGTTAAGCATAAAATAAAAAGAAAATTTGTTTGTTTGTTGTGTAAGATGTTTGTGGTGTAAGATGTAATTTTATTTCATCTCGTGAACATTAAAAAACAGTATTCTCACTCGTGGCTACGCCACTCGTGAGAATACTGTTTTAAAGCTCACTCGACGAAATAAAATTTCATTTTACACACAAACAAACAAATATCCTCTATATGTATTTCTCGCTCCAGTTTTGCTTTTTTTGTCAGCTGTCCGTTATATGCTTATTACAAAATTGATTCTAGTACATTTATATCTAGTTATTTTTCATGATAGACCATATAAATCTTTTACCCAGGACAATACTTGTTTTCATGGATTGACACCAAAGTATCACACTTAAACTTTGAACTTTCAATGATCACCGTTGTATGTTGTTTGTTTTGTGTTTTGTTTTTGGTTGTTTTTTTCTTTGTTATTATAATTAGTTAGAAAATGGGGAGCAAACTGCAATGAGGTGGTCCATCAGTATGTTCGTTCTTTTATCATTATCCGATCAATAGCTTGAGAAAGATTTATTTTTTTTACCTATGCTATTTAGTATTGACGTTGCCCATTGACAGAAGATGGTCCCCACTTTTTTTCTTTTTTTTTTGATGTCATGAATTCATAAAATGAAAATGTACTTGACTATTACCTCTGAAAATGAAATACCAACTTTCTTTTCAACTATATTTTGATTTCGAAAGTGCGTGGTTAAAGCCCAGCATCATGTTACAAACGATGACTTTGATTTAATATGGTATGAATGGTGATTTTATATGGTATAAATAATGACGTTTAACTTTTATGGGTTTTTTTTGTACTTATGGAAAAGAATTTCCATGTTCTAGATTTATAAGAATCTATGCGTACAAAAATGAAAAAATTTAAAAAGTTTGTTTTCATATGCATATAGCCATTGTATTTATTTTTTAACAGGATACCGCTACGTTATCTAGCCTACCTTTTGAATAAAACATATCGTCTTGTCAAACAACGCCTTCATCGTTCCATGCAAAATAAAACAAAAACCTAATTTCTTTGATGAGTCAAAAGGTAAAGGAAAAATGTATGTTCTTAAAATGTTATAAAATTTAATAACGATATTATTATACATGCTTATATATATTTTTATGTCAACGTTCTACTAACGGTTTCAGATTGTTACCTAGGGAGTAAGCATTCAAACTTAACAAATATTTAGCGTGAATACAATCGCATTATTTCTCGAAAAGGCAACACGTTTGATTGTAAAACGTTACAAATAGTGTTAAA